ACACAGAGCGTGCGTGATCGCAAAATCAAAAGTGAAAGTGAACAGCGAGCGCTCATTCAAAAGAGATTTAAATACCCCGCATATTGATTGTGGCTCCCTAATGAGCGAAAATTATAGGCCTATGCAATATTAGAATGTTTGAGGGAGCACTGGATACAAAAATCACGGGAGCGGGCGATAATGGTCAGAAATTCAGCGGAAGCAGGATTAAGAAAACAGCCCCTGGCAGGGCTCTAATACAAAAATGCAAACAATGAATGGCGACTGTCGAAAGCAAACGCCTAATCCCAGACAATTTGGGCGATTTAGAAAATGCATTTTTTAGGTCCTAAAAGAGGACATGTCTGGGCAAAAGAGGATGTATGGTCACCCTATGTGAACTAGCCCTATAAGTTTTGATGGCAACCGCCCAGTATTCGGTCAGTGCCATAGGAATCTACAGCATTGAACTGATAGGACAATGAAATGGATTAAGAACCTGGTCTGTGTACCATAAACTAATCCGTTTCTATATATTTGTCACACATACTGTAACATGTTGAGGGAGATCTGGTTGAGACAGTGTTCCTGTTTGTGTAAGATGCTGTTCAACCCCAGGGCCCAGCCGCACGGCTTTAACATCCCAGGGGATGGAAGCAAGCAGGTAAGGGGTAAAAGAAGACTGAACCATGGCACCATCAACCAGTACAAAGGCTATAGGACCAGTCATAACCTCTCTCCAGTACTACGCAGCTCAGAGCAGCCCAAAGATGGGGAAGGACAAGGAAAGCATATCAGCCCATGCTGAGTATTCAGTGAGTAGCTCATCCACATACAGAAGATGCTGATGAACCTGGATCTTTGCTATAGCCAAACTCCTCTCTATTGCAAGAGCAGGTCTAATTGATCTGGAATCCAAATCCATGCCCTGAAAATGTACCAAATGATGAGGAAAAGGCAACTCTTCCATACTCTCAGCCCTAGGGTTCTGACTTTTGTTGAGATGTAGGCATCGACTCAAAGTGGAGGCAGATGAAAGCAAACTTATTGAGGCAGGGTTTAATCAGACTCAATGACAGGAGAAGTCTTGTATATGTCACCAGAGAGAAGTCTATTGTTTTCACCAGAAGGTCCAGTTATGACATTTTGATTAGACATTATGAGGTAATTTTTTTTTTTTTACAAATTACATATAGCCTATTGCACAAATTATTTGTTCACAACAAGATCTATAACATGCATTTATTAAATATATAAGGTGAATTTTCATTGATTAGTTCATCTCTCGAGTCTTCGGGTTTTTCGAGTCACTCGTTCATCACGTGACAGCCCCATAAGCTTACCCTATGCAGTCTGAGCCGGAAAGAGACTTAATAATAATAACCGACTCTTTATTACCTTTGTTATAACATTCAGTGTTATGGAAAATAACCATCATGACAGAAATTCACACATTTAGAAACTGTAAGAAGTAAAAAGCTACAATTTGAGACCAGAAACGCATCACGTAACTGTAAGAGTAAATAATAATTATAATAATGATGATAATAATAATTATAATAATGATGATAACTATGCACCCGTTTGTAAGGAAGCTTGTAAATTAACTAATTTCTCTAGCCAATGCTGTCACGTCACGTGACAAAAGAACAAACGATTTGAAAGACTCGAGAGATGAACTAATGAATTCTTAATCAGAATGTGCTGCATGGAAAAAAACTGTCTTTATTAAAAACTGGTTTGACAAAGGTGTAATTTTTGTTTTAGATTTGTTAAAAAAGGATGGTACCTTCTATTCCTATTCTGAATTTTCAGAAATCTTTGAAGTGGATACCTCACCTAGAGTGTATGAATGGGTTTAATTCTATTTCACCTAAACTGTTACATTTGGTTAGGGCAAATTGTTACA